AGCACCAACCGGACCTACAGTGGCACAGAAAACCGAAAAAAAAAAAAAAAAAAAAAAAAAAAGGAATGGGGAATGTAGGGCATGTCTCTCTATCCACAGAGGCCCAAGCAAATGGCCCACACGGCCCCACAAAAATTCATGTTCGCAAAAATTTACTAAAAAATTACTAAAATAAGCTTCCAAATTTCCATACAAACTCATCCTGCTACACAAACAAAGTGGCAGTTCCTTGCTAAAAGAAATTGGTGGAAATTTGGAAACCTTTTTTTTTTCCCAACATGAATTGTCGGCAGTTCCTTGCTTAAAAAAAAAAAAAGTCGTCCACCAAGGGGTTACATCTCCAGCTGGGACCCTGTCGACCATCAAAACTTCTCAAGCGCTTACCATACAGTTGTCACAGGCGGCTGTAAATAGTGAAAAAAAGTAAATAGTAAATACAAATGATATCACAGGGGCACAGGCGGGGCCGTCGATACTAAAAAGTAAATACAAATGACATCACACACACCTGATACAATGCCGTACTCAACTTCTCACCAAGCCCCAAATTCCACACCACTTCATCCTGAAAACAGTTATGGTGGCAGTACCGACCTCGGTTCAGGTCCCTGATAAACCGAAAAAATAGATGAGAAAAAAGAGGCCACACTAATCGTTCTGGAAGAATCTGGCCCTTTTTGCATCCGCATTCAGGACGGAAATTAGTCCATCCCGCCAGTCGGAGCCGCCACCGAATCTGAATCTGAGAAACATCGACTCCCCCTCTCCCTCTCCTCACGAGGATGTCAGCCAAGGAGGGAATCAATCGCATCACTAGCGATGCTCGACGATACCAAAGAGGTACAGACGCTGCCCTAGCCAGCGACCACGCCGTTCGGGAGACCAGGACGAGGACCACGGAAAGGACAAGGAAAGAGAATAGGAATCAGGAATAGGAACAGGAACAGGAATAGGAATAGGAATCAGGAACAGGAACAGGAATAGGAATAGGAATAGGAACAGGAATAGGAAAGACAGTAGGGAACAGGGATGGCTGAGACAAAGAGGAATAGGGATGGCTGAGCTGAGCTGAGTTGAGCTGAGCTGAGCTGAGCTATGCTGATGACAGGAGTTGCGCGAGCTTCAGTTCTCTTAGCTGACTTATATTCACACGAATGGACGGGCCCATTGTCGAACAAATATAGATGGTCTTCCAGTACTGCCCCTTTGCGCCAGATGGCTTGTTGCTCTCAATAGAG